TTCCGACTTGTAGGTGACCCTGCGATTATTCGCACAGTCTTCACGTGATCGTAGCACTTGAGTGTACCTATATACACCCAGTTTTGTCGTACATACCACTAGAGGTGGTTCCGACTCGTGTGCAGGGATGATTGATGAGATATAAGTACAATCGTACGGGTCACGTTAGGTGATTTCGGCTGATGTATCATTTTATATTGATTAAGTTCATTTGGCCTACTTGTTAATGCATTGTAGAGTTTATGGACATGCCATACTCGTGGTTTTGGTTAATTTTGAGCATAGGTGGATATATATATATATATATATATATATATATATATATTGTACTGTCCTATAGAAAACGATAAGGGAATTAGAGTGAGGGGTTATTACTGATAGAAAGGTAATAGTTTTGGGAAGCTTGGTTTTACTGCTTACTCACACCTTTTGTTTTGTACCCTTCAGGTTTTAACTGCTGAGTTCGTATCGACAAAGATATATAGCTAATCTTAGTATTGGTGGCTACTTTTAAGGGTATGATTCTTACCCACACTACTGTACTTTACTTATGCTTTGACATTGCGTGTGAAATGGGTTCGCTCCCACTCGTAGCGCACTCTGGTATTTAGACATTTTTAGGTTCAAATTTATTCACATTTTATACACTATCACACTTTATGGCTTCGTCACCTTCCAGGTGTCGGCCAACACAGCTCGATTTGGCGTCCTAGTGGACATTCCGAGTCGGGGTGTGTCATTAATAGAGACAAACACAAGGACCAAATTAGCCAAATTGAAAACACAAAGACTAAATTGACCATATGACTATAACACATGGACCATTTTGACATTTAACCCTTTAATTTAACTATGAAACGAGCCTCGAGTTTTGTATTATTGAGTTCAGAGTATGAGGCTCAGAGTTTCAAGTCTTGAATTGATTGAAACAAGCTTCGATATCTGGATTATGAAGATCTAATTTAAGAATGCCATTGAACTAGAACTATTTTTGAAATGATTTTCAAGAAAATATCACGTGCTAATAAAAGTTGTTTCCTAGAGAAAAAAAAAAACTAGAATCCCCTTGTAGAAAAGAAATAAAAACATATGATATTACGATTTTGCCCATCATATCATATGATGATTCATTACCACCATTCTCACGTCCTAAGATTATTGAGAAAATGTTCCCAATTCCGTAACACAGGACATGGTAGATTTGGCCTAGGAAATGTCATACAAAGACGGCAATGGATTTCTGACATGTGGTACATATGAGGAAGATATGACCGTTGGATGGTGTGGACAACAAACGGCTCCTTCAAAGCCGGAGCACTCGGACAGTCGGACAGCCCAAGAAAATCCAGCCGTTGACCAGGAATCTGGTCTACATTTCACGCGCACCAGCAGCGCGTGGGAAAAGCAGCTGCAGATCCAACCAAGGGTGGCTAGTCGCTGCCTGGCCACGTGGTGAATGTCTACGTTTTGATGTATTATGTTTTTATTTATTTATTTCAATTGAGTAGGTCGATAATTATTTTTATATCACCCCGGTGTATTTAGACATTTAATTTTCAACGTAGCTTAAATATGTTGTCCCAAACCTTTCACAATCTGTAGTTTTGAGCTCGATTCGTAGACACTCGACTCACATTGTAGACGTATAAATTTGAGTTCTATATTTACAAGCCTAATTGCGAGTATCGGCTTGATTCTTTTAAGTATAATTCCTTTGTCTATCTCTAATCCAAAACGAAAATGTCGAAAAGTATAAAGTCATATTTAACTTTAAATGTGCTGCTATAAGTTATATTATCTCCAATTCATGTAGAGTTAATTTGATTTTTAACTTTTATGCATCACAACATGATTAAGTAATTTTATAATTAAATATAACTTTTGTAGCTTCTAGAGTTAAGGGTCCTACTTTTAACTATAGATTTATCCAAAGTTAAATATGATTTTGTATATAGTGACATATATGACTCCTACTTTTCTTACGCATTGGAGAGGTATTAAGTCAATTTAGAGTTAAATATAACTTTTAGCTACAAAACTAATAGCCTTACACCACTATAAAAACGATTCCTATGTATGTAAAGAGAATTATTATTGGCACTTTAAAAATTTAGTTGTGTTTTCCAATCTTATTATGATTAAAATGAAAAATAATCTTACAAGAGGTAGACAATTAAATTTTGACATAGAACCAAATGTATGAGAGGTTTTTCAGTGTGCTTAGGCACATGACGGAATACACATGTCATTATACAATTGGACAAAATGAATCTGGTCTATATTTCACGAGCACCAACGGTGCGTGGGAAAAGCAAATGCAGATCCAACCAAGGGTGGCTACTAGCTAATCATCTGCATGGCCAAGTAGTGAATGTCTACGTATTCATGTATTTTATTTTTATTGATTTATTTTGAGCATTTGAGTAGGTCGATAATTATTTTCTTATCACCCGGGTTTATTTAGATATTTACTTTTCAACATAGCCTAAACATGTTATCCCAAACCTTTCACAATCCCGAAATTTTGAGCTCGATTCCTAGACACTCAGTCACATACTAGGCTGAAAAATTTGAGTTCCACATTTACAAGTCTAATAGTTGATTTTAATATACGAATTTCACGTTGATTCTTATAAGTATTGACATACCCTGATTCAGAATATCCACTAGGACTCCGAATCGAGCTGTGTTAGGCGACACCTGAAAGGTGACGAAGCCATAAAGTATGGTGATGTGGAAAATATGGTTAAATTTAAACCTTAAAGTGCCTAAGGAGCAGAGTGCACTGCGAGCAGGAACGAGCCCGTTTCACACGCAACGTCAGAGCATAAGTAAAGTACAATAGTGTGGGTGAGGATCATACCCTTAGAGGTAGCCACCTATACTAAGATTCGTCACAAATCCTCGGCGATACGAACATCCAACAGCTAAAACTTGGAAGGGCACAAAAACAAGGGTGAGTGGGCTTTTCGGTTTTCTATATATACGTATATATGTTTCGCATTTTTCCCAGAAATGGTTTTAAGTGGAATTTCATTTAAAATGCCATGTCATGGTTACTTTACATTTTAGCCTATGCATTAGTATAGCTTTGCATAATGTTGCATGATGCTGCAGAGCCCAGGTAAGCTACATGTGAATACATTATGATGTTAGTGGTTGTGATGTATATGGATATGCCTGGATGCAATTGATACTCATTATCCTGCGCCCCGGTGTTAGTGCTCTGCCCGAGGTCAAGGCTAGCCTTCATGTGATCGTTCACCTTCTGCACTCGTGTGAGTGCCTAGAAACAAAACCGTGAGGGCGTGGTCGGGCCAAAAACGGACAATATCGTGCTACGGTAGAGTCGAGCCCAGGATGTGGTGAGGGCCCAGGCTAGGATGTGACAAGTATAGTTCTTTTGGCTTTCTCTAATCCAAAACAGAAAAGTCAGAAAGTTATATAGTCATATTTGACTCTAAATGCGGTGGTGTAAGTTATAATATCTCCAATGCAGGTAGAGTTAATTTTATTTTTTTTAACTTTTATCCATCACAAAAGGATTAAGTAATTTTATAGTTAAATATAGCTTTTTTGCATCTTCTAAAGTTAAAGGGTCCTACTTTTAACTGTAGATTTATCTAAAGTCCGACATGATTTTGTATATAGCGTCATATATGACTCCTACTTTTTTGACGCATTGGAGAGGTATTAAGTCAGTAGTTAGAGTTAAATGTAACTTTTAACTACAAAACTAATAGCTTACACTTGTATAAAAACGATCCTATATATATAAAGAGAATTATTATTGACTTTTTAAAAATTTAATTGTCCAATCCAAATTAATATAATTAAAAAGAAAAATAATCTTACAAGAAGTAGACAATTAAATTTTGAAGCATAATCAAATGTACGAGAAAATTTTCAATGTTATTGGACACAGGACGGAATACATATGTCATTATACAATTGGACGAAATGACGCCTACTATTCATTCAAATGGCATATGAACTCTGTGGTTTGTTGGTTGGAAATGTCAGCATTGTTCGAACACTTGAAAAAAATCATTTCCGCAAATTGTATAATAACATGTGGTGTTCGTCGTGTGCTTAGTCATACAAAAAAAATCTTTTTGCATGTAGAATGACTTATCGCCAACTTAGAACATTTCCAAATGAGATGTCAAATCTTAGGTGGAGATGCTGTGCATATTTGACATAGAAAATCATTTCAACTGAAGTGTTGTTTGCTTACTGGATTTGAAGCCTTTGTGAATAGAGTCAAATTTGACATTAACGTTAAATTCATTTATAATAATTTTAATGGTAGGTCCCTTACTCTAAGAGTAATTTTTGGGTGTGCCGGGAACACCACGTGGCATGGTGTTCCCTCACACATAAAAATTCAAATTTTGAATATACTTCAATTTTTTATTTCAATAAATAAAAAAATTTGTATTTTTATGTGTGAGGGAACACCACGTGGCATGGTGTTCCCGGCACACCTAAAAATTTCTCTTACTCTAATAACATTTTAACCAATTAAAATTTTATTTTAATAATTAAAATTTTTGAAATAAATACAATCATTTAAAGCTCTATATTAATTAGCAAAATAACATTTGACAATTCAATTGAAGAAGTATAAAATTTGACGTAAAACTTCAAAATGCTACTTCAATCGATTATAATTTGAAAGTTATAATTTAACGTTTTATTTGGAGAGGGTCTTAGGTCAACACCCCATTCACCTATTTCCAACTCGAATTTGATAGTACCAATTTCCAACATAACAATATTATTGATTAGCTGAACACTAATTTTAAAAAAAATTAATTTTGAAATGTCATTTTCAAAACAAGAAAAACACTAGCACTAGCAGAAGACGACAAAAAGCAGCGACCTGCTAAGGAAACAGACGAAGTACCAAACCAGAAAAAATATATTATCCAAACAATAAAGAAACCTTTAAGGCAATAAATTATTATCACAAGTTTAATTAATTAATGGACACGTGGAACAATTTTACTTTATTTCAGAGAAGAGAAGTGGGAGAGAGAGAGAGAGAGGAGGGAGAGGGAGAGAGCAGGGAAGTGAGGATGGTGGGAAGGTGGTGTGAAAGAAGAGAGAGATTGAATTTGTGAGTGCGTTTAATGCAAGGAAATTTGTCGTTTAAGGCGATGAAGAAAGATGGAGCCTTTGCACCAAATAGGCCGATCCAATTGAGAGTAAGTTTTTGAGTGTAGAGAGAGAGAGGGAGAGAGAGTTCTGTGGGTTAAAGGAAGGAGAAGAAGAAGACGGCATGCAGAATTCAAAGCTTACAGCAAAACCCATTTATTAGTTTCCAATCACCTTCACCATACTTAATCTCAAAGGTGTTTCCTTTTCACTCACTCTTTCACTCTTTCTGCTGTAAATTTCATGCCTTTTGTAGTTTCTTGAAATGGGTTTGTTTTATTTTCCTTTATTTTGTCTGAACTTCTTTTTACAATTTATTATGTTTTTTTTTTTTTTTTTTTTTTTTTTTAATAACAAAATAAAAGGGAATTCCAATGGTAAATTTTACTGTATGGTAGTAAGCCTCTGGTTTGGTTGCATGTGGAGATTAAGACTGTGAGGTTGATCTTGTAGTGGTTTTATTGGGTTGAGGTGATTGATTTCTTATTTGGGTAACACTTATATTTTAAATCTTTTTTCTTTTGATAATTATTTTGGGTAATAATTTTAGTCATGTTTTGCTGATTTTAGACTTATTCCTGTTCTTGGATATATAAAAAAAAAGGTTTAAACAATTCCTGTTCTGGGTTTAATTGTTTCCAATTTGAGGATGGGATGTTCAAAAAATCATGGAACTCAACATTTTCGGCCCTGGCCTTTTCCATCTTTGTGGTGCTTTTCATTTCATAGTTAATGTAATTGTGTGATTGGATTATTTAATTTATAGAATCAACAGAAGTCTGATTAAGTAGTGATTTGATTGCCGCATGTATTTTGAGTTTCTGTGTTGATCCGAATTAGTACTGTGGTTTAGAAATATTCATACACCGCAGAATCAGTAGGCGTGATAACTATTTGGCCCTTGTAGCGAGTTCTAATTGATGAACTGAGGTTTTCCTAGCTGATATGCAATACTGAGGATCAGTTGGTTTGAAACTAGATGATGAATGTGACTACAGTGGTCGAGGGCGTTGCCTTTCCCTATACGTTTATATCGTCCCCTAGATAATTTTCCTCTATTTCCATTCATGATTCTTACTGGAGTTTTATATCCGGCACTTAGGATCGTGGACACTTTTAGTTGGTGCCTTCTGTGTAATAATATGTGCTGCATCAATTCTTGTCGGTGTGCCCCTTTTGGTACAGTGAAAGTGATATGTCTTTAGTTATGCATATGCTTACTATCAGTACCTTTGTTCACTCAAGTAGTTTTATGTTGTCCTTCGTTCCTCTTGAATTGATTTCATTATAGTTTGTTCAGTGCGTATGAAGTAAAATAGTTACTAAAGTTTGGTGCTGTTCTTTTTTATTTGGGCAGCGTTTCGACTGGTTGCACTTCTTGGTTGCTGATGAGTCGGTGATTTAAGTGAACCTTCAGGTTTTTCTATTGAACATATTTGAAGATCTATAAAGTTTCAACGCCATATTTTTGTAGACGAGCCTGAATAGTTGTTTTAGAAAATGCAGAATTTGGATAAGAAAAACTCTGGTTTTGGTTCTGCCCACCTAACATTTCCATTCGTTGTTGGATCTTCATCATGGGAGAATTCTACTGAGACACATGTCCAACACTCATCTTCCTCCAATAGCTTAATCTTGAACATGGGTGTGCCACTACATAATTATCATAACAGCAAGCAATCTCGAATTAACTTTCAAGATCAGGATTCATCCTCAACTCTGTCGACAGGTCAATCTCTCTCTGAAGTTGATAGTATGAAAGAAGGCAACCCCTGTGGGCAAGGCATAGTTTCAGCACAATCAGGTTGATGTATTTGTTTGTCGCCCCATATTTTCGTTCCCTTGTTTCTTTCACCTTCAATTGATGTTTCAACGGAACTTTTTGCTTCTTAATTCTGCATGTTGGCGTTATTCTATCAATGATTGTTTTTATTCTCTAATAAGAAACAAAATATCTGTAAAAGGATAAATTGATTTTAAGTGACCACTTGGAGTAATGTTCGTCAATTATGATTTGGATGGTTGAACAACACAAATAGGCCTTCGCTACGGTCAGGAATTGCACATGCCTCTTACCCATGATTGGTCGTTGCACTCCTCGTTATAAGTTAATATTATGCTCCTTATCAATTTGCCAAAACTTGTATACATCTCCCTTCGCATACCACGATACTACTTGGAGAACTTCCCCTATTAACTATTTGGTTCTTCACATTGATTTCTTTGTTACCAGGCCAGATCCGTATATCTAATTTGGTTTACCCTTGTTCTTGGTACAGGATATAATGAAACACAAGGAAGCCTGTTGGGGCCCACATGAAATCACTATCACCAATGGAAAATCAGAGCTTTATCTTCCCTTCACAAATTGATTTTAACCGTTCAATTGTAAGTTTTACCCTGCCTGTGTTTTTTCTGGTCACAATGGATGTGGGAATCTTATAATTTTCTGGTTACTAATTCAGGGTCATATTCCTTTCCACTATGCTGAGCCATACTTTGGAAGCTTACTGGCTACTGCTTGTGGGCCACAAGCTACGGTAAGTGCTTCAAAGTAAATACCAATAGGTCCTCTTTTCTCAGGTGTTTTTGTTTTGCCAACTTAATTATAGCAGTAGAGCCCCTTGAGGTTGGTTGGTTTGTAGAACCTGCTAATCCTGTGAGTAGTGACATAAGGCTTGTTTATTTCTTTCAATGTGATTGCACAATATGATGAACACTAAATGGTGCTTTAGCATTATACTATTTATTTAAGGTAACTAATAGAAGTAATCACAAAGGGCGTGCCTTTAACCTGAAAGCACATATAATAGATTACTTCAAATTTTCAAGAGCTTTCCAATTATGCTGCAGATGCTATAACTGTAGGTTCTTTTAACCAACTTTGAGGATAAATTAATAATTAACTCTTCTTTCACTATGACCAATGCAACCTCAATACTGCCAAAATGAACACAAAAGACACTTTGGAATGTTATGTTCGACAATGTTCGTGCACCTTGCACTTCAAACTCTTGTTTCTCTTTTCACAGTGAGTTGGCTATATATGTCTTTTTTTGGGTAGGAGAACTGATCCATATAAACTCATCAGAAATGTTATCGAGGGTTGGACCTATACAATCTTTTTAGGCTTTAGCCATGTAGCATCTTGTCGTGCAAATTGTTTAAAGCCAACGTAACAGCTAGTTTGATATTCTTAAAGTGGGGTTCCAATGTAAATTTCTCTGTTTCTCTTTATCTCCTTTGCTCTTATTCGTTATTCTGATCTCTTTATAGTACTAAAGTTTCTTCGTGCTTACCTGTTAACCCTAGAATATATCTTTATGAAGTTGAACCTTCAAGGCATAGATGCAAAAAATAAGTGGGGTTAATCTTGAAGATATATTCTTGCGAGGGTCAAAATACAAAAGTTATAAGATATAATATACAACTTAGTGGTTTTGATATAGATTCTGATTCTTTTTTTTCTTTAGTGTCAAACCATGACTTGAAGTTCTATAAAATACACCACTTGTGGCTGTTTTTGCATAAGAATGTTCCTCTTTTGTTGCGATATTATGAGGTATTTACCATTTCAATGTCTCCAGATTCATCATCCTCAGGTGGTGGGGATAACTCCTGGTAGGGTTCCCTTGCCTCTTGATCTTACAGAAGATGAACCTATTTATGTAAACTGCGAAACAGTACCGTGCAATTATCCGGAGGAGGCAATTTCGTTCTAAGCTTGAAGCTCAGAACAAACTCGTCAAAGTTCGTAAGGTGTGGGAAGGTTTGAAATTGATTTGTAAATGCCCGTCTCTGATTTTGGCCATGGAGATTTGTACTTTTTTTTTTTTTCACTGGTTTTGCTAAGGAAGACCTTTCTGAAATATGTGCAGCCGTATCTTCATGAATCTCGGCATGTTCATGCATTGAAGAGGGCTAGAGGAACTGGTGGGCGCTTTCTCAACGTGAAGAAGGTCCAAGATTCCAAGCCAAATACTACACACCTCAGAGTGAATGCTTCAGGCACTGCTCAGCTACATTTGATCGGAAATATGTCAGAATCTGAAGTTCACGAACCTGACAACTATAGAGATGGTGCTTCCACTACCTCTTGCTATGAAGTCACAAGCACTTCCAACAGTGATGATGTATTTCGCGGCAAGATTTGAGGCTCTCTTCCTACCCCTCTCACATTGGTGGGACCATGCAAGTTCCTTTTGTTGATGTGCGTGGCGGTGGGAACCAGCACCATCATTCCATCCTCCGGTGAACAATCATCATAGCAGTCTGTGTTCAGGGTTCTGTTGGAGAACACGGCTGCTACCGTTCCCTCGGGAAGTCATCCTTGGCTCAGTTGAAGTTTCCTTTCGAATTCCTTCGGCATTGTTAAAGTTACCTTTCTAATTCCTTCTGGAAGTCATTCTCGGCTCTAATTCCTTTGGGAAGTCATCCTCGGCTCAGTTTCCTTTCCTGGTGTTCCTCTATCGTCATTGTTAACCCCTACATCCTGCAGTTAACCTTAATCCGTCTATTTCCCATTTAGTTTTCGGGCAAATACAAAGAATGCCGGATGAAGTATGATTAAATTGGTACACATGGTTGGCGAAAAGAACATAATTCTCTTGTGTGTGATGAATAATCTGCGTATTTGTGCAGACAGCTGACCTTTGGCTTTGAAGGTCTTCTGCATTTTATGAAAAATAAAGTGTGTGTGCATTGACCTGTTGGTTTTAGAAGTTCTGTTGAAAGAGCATACAAGTTTGTAAATTTGTGTTCTCTTTTCTATCCATCTTTTGGCCAAAACCAAAGGTTTTCTATTAAATTACCAATACAAATAGTAAAAGCACACCCAGTTTTACTTTCTTGATCACTACTATAGACCTCTTGCCCTTCCGTGTACTGGTTGCGGCCGCCGTTATGGTCAACTAGAAACACAATACCAAGTTAAGGGACTTGTAGTTCAAGTAGTTAAAAGCGTTTATGGAAAACCAAGTTATGATCTTGCCGTGGTCAAATTTGGTCATGGAAAGTAAATATTGTGGACTCATTGCACTATCATGACTTTTTGAAAATGCAAGTGCAATGAATTTGGGACCAAAAGAAAAAACAACCTAAGCTACACTGACAAAATTGTTCTATGTATAAGTTCAGGCTTTTATTTTCTTAAGTGCTTTTTTTTGAACAAACGATAGTTTAGATTTTAACTTAGAAACAGTTTTTGTGCTCAAACCCTTCTGATCTAAAATTTTAGGCCCAGATTATTAAAGAATGAATTTAGGCTTTTTTAATTTTTAATTTTTTTATTTTTATTTTTATTTTTTTAAATTAACTTTAAAAAAAATATGTAGACTATCCTAAATTAATTTTATGAACATTTTAACCTAAAAATATTTAAATTCCGATAAATATTGAAAAATCACTAAATCGACACATGAAACACTATGGAAGAATATGAAACACATGATAGAGATGTATAAACACAAAGTACATGAAACACACAAGACACAAAACACATATAAGGCACATACAAAACACATGATAAAGATGTATAACACACCAAACATGTGAAACGCATGACACACACAAAACACATACCAAATACATACACAACACATGAAACTCATGAAACACAAACCTACACACATGAAACGCAAACCTTCAATCATCCTCTATATAAGCATAGGTTGAATATCTAACCATCACACAACATATTCATCAATCATCCAACTTTCATAGTGTTTTTGTTTCCTCAACATCACACAACATATTCACCAATCACAACTTATGTGAAGCTCCTTCCACTAGCCATAGTGTTTTTGAGTTAAATAATTTCTTTTTAATTATTTTAGCCGTTGGATTTAAATTTGAGCCGTTAGATATATATATATATATATATATATATATTTTACCGTTAGATTTGATTATATTCGATCTCAGCTATTAGATTCAATAAATATATAAATATAAAAATAAAAAATAAAAAATTGAATGTAGGCCGTTGGATCAACCAACGGCCCAGTTGATTTAAGCTGTTGGATCATAAAACTAGCCATTACGGCTCATTAATATCGGACACAAGTGGCCGACATGCCCAAGTGGGTGGGGCCATGCCGTTGGTTGAGCTTGGCGCGTCGCTCGCGTGGGCGCGTCTGTTAGAGGTCTTTGGCCTTCATGCGCCCACTTCCACTCTCATTGGTGGGCCCCACATGTTTCTTTGGCCTATTTCTTGGCCGGAATTTGGCCTTCTTTTCGGTTTTAGCACTTAACTTCAAATTAGAACTAGGATTGGAATGAAACTTTTTTTTTTGTGGGGGGGGGGGGGGTGGGGGCGGGGAGGGAATAGAAAGGAAATTATAGGACTTACTCCAAGGGTTGGAGTTAGTTTAAGGGGAAGAGGTGAGCATAGTCTCACAATGGACTAGCAATAATGTGGTTTTCTTAAAGATTTAAATTCTTTGTTTTGCATATTCTTCTCTACATTTTGAAGTTGGTGTATTGAATTTTTATTTTTATTTATTTATTTATTTTTTTTTTAAGTATGGGTTTTTTCGAAAACTTAACATTTCAGCAATAGGTTGATGAAAACTACATTTTTGACAGAGGTCAATGGAAATAATTTTCATCTTCAATTAAGGTGGCTTATAGCTCCACTTAGGCCATCTCCAACCGAGGGCTGGCTACATAGCTTGTTTTAGCCCTTTGGGCCTCCAAGATATTAATATTTTAATGAACAATACATGTCCATATTTGCCTCCATCTCCAACCGAGGGCCAAAGGGCCATAGAACTCGTTTTAGCCCTGTCACAAAAAATCATCTCCAACCAAGAGCCATAGGGCCAAACCTAATTTATTATTTAAATTTAATGTTATTTAATGTTGTTTCATGTTACTTAATTTAATTTAATGTTGTATAATGGCTTAGGAAGTTATAGGAAAAAAAATAAAATTTAAAAAATATATGAAACAAATTTTGTAAAATAGAAGTTATAGGAAGTTATAGAAAAAAAATAGAATTTAAAAAAAATATGAAACAAATTTTGTAAAATAGAAGTTATAGGAAGTTATGGAAAAAATAGAATTTAAAAATAGAAGTTATATGAAAAAACTTTTGTAAATAAAAAAATAAATAAAACTATAAAAAACAAAATTACAAAATAACTGCTAGTTGATGTCAGCTAGCTGTTGCATTTGAAATTTTGACCTAGCATTCCTGTCGGTTATATCCGACAGGAATGCTCACATTTTGGGCCAACCCTTTGACACTTTTAGATTTCGTGGGACCCATGAACCATCTGGCCTAACCTTCGGTTGGAGACGATTTTCGAGCGTTTTTCGGCCCTCTCGCTTTCTGGACCCTTTGGTTGGAGATGGTCTTAGTTAAGAGCATTCAGCCTTGTACTTGAGGTCTAGAATTCGATTCCCTCTCTCTCGAATATCACTTGAGATTGATAAATTTTCTCTTCGCTGATTGAGCTCTCATTGAAGCAGAAAATAATATTTTGACCCCAATCACAATATTCTTTTGTATATACATAGACAAATAAGTAAATGATCATTTGGACTAACTAGTCGTAACTTTATAATTTGCTGGTGTAGATCCTAAGTGCAAATTTAGAGCCAACATCATTTGACCCGCCCATTATAGTAGATCATCATGGTCGGTCACCACTCACTGTTTTCATATCTAAGTTGTGATTCCATTTCATTTCTTGCATTTGTATCAATTTAGTATCATATCATATACCAATTTCATTACTTGTTTGGTATTAGTATCCAGATTTGTACGAGTTTTATCATAGGTTCATGTTCCAAATCTAATTTTTGTTCAAGATAATATTTTAGATAAATTACATTTTACCTCCTCTAGATTTCGGTGCAATTATAACCTTATACAACGTCTTTAAAACATTTCAATCTCATACATTAAGTATTATTTTTTTTTTTCAATTTCATACAACTGTTAAAAAATCTGTTAGGTTAACCGTTAAGTGATATCATGACAAATATGAGGTGTCTATTTATACTAACGTGGCTGCTACATTTGTACCGCGTAGCTAAATACTTAATAAAAAAATTTTAAATATTAAAATAATTAATTAAAGAAAAGTTAAAAAAAAAAAAAAATTGAAAACCCAAAATCCCCTTCATCTTCCCCACCCGAGCCCACCCCCTTCTCCCATCCACCATCACCCAACCCTTCCCCCGTTAATCACTCCGTAGGCGCCAAAAATCTGGTGTACTTCTGCGACCTTGGCAATCCCCTACCCCCAAAATTCTTGAAATTGCTAACTTTCCCCGATATCTTGTCCATTCCGGACATGAGCATATGAGTCGAATTCCCAATCTCAGCCCTCAAACTGTCCCTCTCCTTCGCCGCCTCCTCGAATTGGTTCGCAATCTCCTCCCTCTGCTGTAAGACGAAGGGGAATTTGGGTTTTTTAATTTATTTTTTATGGTTTTTTATTTTTACTTTTCTTTAATTCATTATTTTAATAATTTAAATTTTTTATTAAATGTTTAGCGACGTGGCATAAATGTAGCAATCTCGTCAGTACAAATGAGAATCCTATATTTGCCAACGTTATCACTTAACAGTTAACTTAACAAATTTTTTAACGGTTGTATTGAAATGTTTTAAAGATAATAATACTAAATGTATGAAATTGAAAAGAAATAATAATACTAAATGTATGATATTGAAATGTTTTGAAGATGTTGTATGAAGTTATAATTACACCGAAACCTGAGAGGGTAAAATGTAATTTACCCTACTATTTTGGTTCTGATTCAAGTTTCTCTTTTAGCATCAATTGCAACTACATCTTAATTTAGTGATACTGTCTTCCAAACTTTAAAATAAGTTCGAGGTTGAAATCTTATTCATTAAAGGAAGTTCAAATTTCAAATTTGAAAACACAAAAACCAAATTGTAAATAATAGTGACACAAACAAGTGAAAATGAAGTTTTTAACCCTAAAGGATCTAACTGCAAATATCAAGCACTAAAGTTGAAATTAACACAAACTCTAGGCCCAAAATTGCAATTCCTCCCGCGTTAACACCATTGGCAAACTCTCCCTCTCTCTCATAAGTTTTTGACTTGGTTTTTCTGACAGAGAGAGAAAAAGAGAGGGAGAGAGAGAGAGAGAGCAATGAAGGGAGCTGATGCCGCGCTCTACAACCCTCGAACGGTCGAGGAGGTTTTCAGAGATTTCAAGGGCCGCAGAACTGGAATGATCAAGGCTCTCACTTCAGGTAATTTAATCTTTGTCTTTATTTTTGCTTCGAATCTTTCATTTTTTTTTTTTTTTGAACTTTTTAAGTTACTAATTGAAATTGTATTGGTTTTGGAGGAAACCCAGAAGGGAAATTGGTGTATTTTTTCACTGATTAGTGAGATTATTTGATTTGGGATTTGGAAATTAGTCTTCTGTTTCGTCGTCTCCTTGTTTTTTTCTGTTGACTTGACAAGTGGGTTTAAAAAATGGATATTTTTCTACTGTGTTTAGCTTCTGTGTTTGGTTTGAGAATAAATCCAGAAAACTAAATGGAAGTAAATTTTGAATATTTACATTTAATGTAGTTTTGGGTTTGGATTAATTTGTTTTGTTTCAAATTAGAATTTGAGTGATAGGGAATTCTCACTTCCCCCCTTCTGAATAGGGTTTAGCTCATTTCTCAAATTCTGTTCAGTTTCCAAGAAAATCGAGGAAATGAAAG